TGAGCCCAGAAGGTTGTCTTTGGGTTGTTGAAGGGACACTCTCAAAGGGGACAATGGAACTATAGCCTTTCCTGTCTTCTGCTTCCCAGACACAGGTGAGCAGTTTGGATGTGCTGTCTCCCTCAAATAACAGGGTCAATCAATTATGGACTGTGAACCTGCTTTCCATGTCCCTGATTTTAGCCCTAATTTTTTATTTAGTTCCGTCAACTTTTTTTTTTTAAGTCTAATGTGTTCTTTCATTCCTAGACTCTTGAACTGAAAGGTTAAATCATTAATTTTGTTGTCTTCCTTTTTTCTTAATGTAAGAATTTAAAGCTCTAAGTTTTCTGTCTAAGCACATCTTTAAAGGCATCCATGCATTGTAATATGCCATCATTCAGATGAAAATACTTTCAAGTTTCTCTTATCAATTTTTCTTTAACTTATGAGTTACACATTTTGTTTATTTTCTAGATATCTGAGGGTTTTCCAGATATCTTTCTGTGAGTGATTTCCATTTTAGTTCTTCTTTGGAATTAAATTTTTCATCATCTGTGTGCCCATACTAATGCCCGAGGCCAAGAAACTTAAGAGAGGGTAATAAAGTAGGGGGGTGGGGTAAGCCCAGAGCCCATGTCTGGTAACTGCTGACAAGGATCATGTCTGAAGGCTAGGATTACAAATTAACACGGAGGTGAGACTCTTCACTCTTCCTCCCACCATCTCATTACTTCTCCTCTCCCAGCTCATGACTTTTTGGGAGTGAGGCTGCAGCTCATGCTAAGAACCTCAGTTTCTCCCACTCTTCTAATATATTCCCTGCCAAATCTCAGAGAAGAGCTGATGAAGACTGCTCTTGGGAACACAATAAATGAAAAAGAAGAAAGAAGACCCACAAATACCTTTTATATCTTAATCTGGAAGGCCACACATTGTCACTCCTGCCACACTGCATTTGTTAGAAGAAAGTCACTAAGTACAGCATACACCTTTTGAAGGGAGGCATATCAAAGAATTTGTGGACACATTTTTAAACGAAAAAAAATGTCATAACTCTTACCTCAAAAAGTCATACATCTTTTAAAAGAAAATTAAGAGAAGGAAAGAAAATATACTCATTTTTATGCACATTTCTGGCTTCTTCATTCTTTCTAATAAATCATGGATCAGCAAACTAAAGTCTACAGCCAAAATCAAATCCACTGCCTATTCTTGTGTGAGCTGAACCAAGAATAGTTTTTACATTTTAAGTTATTGAGGAAAAAAAAAAAAAAAAAGAACATTTTTGTAACGTGAAAATTATATGAAATTTAAGTATTGGTGTCCATATAGATTTTTTTGGCTGTCCTGGGATTTAAACTCAGGGTTTCACACTTGCTAGCTAGGCAGGTGGCTCCACTTGAGCTACGCCTTCGGTTCTTTTTGCTCTGGTTATTATTCTGGAGATACGGTCTCCCAATTTTGGCAGGCCAGCCTGGACCACAATTTTCCTGTTTTACACCTCCTGGCATAGCTGTATGACAGGTCACCACATCCAGCTTTTTTCCATTGAGATGGGGTCTTGAGAACTTTTTTGTCCAGGCTATCCTCCACCTGCAATTTCCTATTTCAGCCTTTTAAGTAGCTAGGATTACAGGTGTGAGCCACTGATGCCAACTCATAATGAAGTCTTGTAGGAATGCAGCCACTCTAACTTATTTATGTATTTCAGCTATGGATCCATTCACAGCAGAGTAGTTTCAAGAGAAACCCTACAAAGCCCAAAATATTTAATATGTGGCCTTTTGCAAAAAAAAGTTTACCACCTCCTATCATTACAGGATAATTCCTTTGGGCTTAAAGAATTCCCATTACTTCTCATATGATACATACTTTAGTATAAATTCTCTCTTATGCTATTTGTTTGACAATGCCTTTATTTCATATTTATTTAGTCTTGTGTGTGTGTGTGTGTGTGTGTGTGTTTATGGTACTAGGGCTTGAACTCAGGGCTTCACACTTGCTAGACAAGCGTTCTACCACTTGAGCCACTGTGTCAGCTCCTCATATTCTTTTTTTTTTTTTGGTACTGGGGCTTGAATTCAAGGCTTACACCTTAAACCACTCCATCAGCCCTTTTTTGTGAAGGGTTTTTTCGAGATAGGGTCTCACGGAACTATTTGCCTGGACTGGCTTCAAACCTCAATCCTCCTGATGTCTGCCTCCTGAGTGGCTAGGATTATAGGTGTGAGACACCAGTGCCTGGCTCCTCAATCTTCATTTCTGAAGGACACTTTTTCTAAATGATAACTGGACATTATGGATAATATATATTGTATCAATACTGGATGTACTTATGTTCTGAAAATTGTGAACTTATCTTCTGTTAATTTGCCTTGACACAAACTAAAAGTATATAGAAAATTCGGACTAAAATATGTTGAATTTTTGAGAATTTTTTTAATTAGGCATTTAAAATATGAGTTTTGGATGATACTGTAGCCTGTATTATTTCTCCTGAAAAGTCATGTGTTAAAATCTCTGGCTGGCTGCTTTCAAGACTTTTCTCCTTACCTTTGGCATTTAGCAATTTGCCTACAATGTATGTAGGTGTGGTTTTCTTTCATATTTATTTTGCTTGGAGGTCACTGATCTTCCTAGTTTTATAAGCAAGTTTTGCTTTTTTTTTTTTAAGTAAACAGGAAGTTTCCTGCCACCATTTCCTCCCCTTTCTCTCATCATTGGGACTCCAATTAAAGTGGAAAGACCAGTTTTCTGCAACACCTTCCTAAGGAGGAAATGCCTTTAGTCAAAAAAAAGCACCAAACAGCCAGTCTCTGGTGGCTCACACCTGTAATCCTGGCTACTCTCAGGAGGCAGAGATCAGGAGGACCACGGTTCAAGGCCAGACTGAGCAAATAGTTCCCAAAACCCTATCTCGAAAATACCCATCACAAAAGTTGGGGGAGGGGGACACTGGTGGAATGGCTCAAGGTGTAAGCCCCAAGTTCAAACCCCAGGGAGGGAGGGAGGGAGGCAGAGAAAAAAGAAACGGAAAGAGGGAGGAGAGGGTGGGAGGGAACTTGAAAAACAGACCTACTGCAGTTGCATCTTCAAGGATTATCTCCTATTTGGTCTCCAGTGTTATAACAAAGGTTCCCAGGGGTCTCCCTGGATAGTCACAGCAATAGTGTGTACTTAGGTTTCAGCCTTCAGCAGCTCTCTCAGTTTCAAGGTTTCCTCCTGAATTCCCAGCTTCTCTGACAGTCCTCAACTTTGTCCTCTGACACCTCAAGTCAATATGGTTGTGACTTTCTGTCTCTGGAGCTGTGGGAGTTAGGGAGCCCTTTGTGCAAAATGCCAGAAACTCACAATTTTTACCCAATGTTTTACTTACTTTGAAGAAGAAACTCTATGCTTTCTGCCTACTTTTGGTGTTTTCTAATACTTTCAAATAGCTGATTATTTAAAATGTTTTTCTGGGTTTTATCATTGCTACCTATGGGAGGATTCATTTGTGAATCCCAAATGTGAATTTATAATTTTATATATTATAAAATTTTAATTATTGGTAATTCTACAGTAGAAAATGAAGTAAGTACATAAAATAATGTCCAAAAATGTAGGGATTTACACTTGAATACACATACATACACAATCTCTTAATGCAGTCCATGTTGAAACTCCTATCTTGGACCCATTTATAGTAAATTAAAATATGGTCAGGTCTGGGATTGTTAAGCTGAATCATGGGAAAAAATGCAAATGAATAACTTTGAAACTACTTAAGAGCTAAAAGAATGAAGTTCCCCTCAAATGATTTGTAGACTGTTTTAAATGATTTCCCATGGGTAAAAAGATTTACAACAGCAAGAAGGATAATCAGAATGAGGACTGTGTACCTTTTAATTCTAGCAATAATTAAGAGTAATTATTAATTAATGATGTCTTTTTTAATAAAATACTTACCTTTGTTCCTTCTACAATGAGAAAATATTTTAGATATTGTCTTCTAAATACATTACACATTTTCTTATACTAAGCTAAGTAAGAGAAACTGTAAAAAAGAACTCACGACATGTGCTTTTAGAATTTCTACTTATATTCATCTTTCACTGATGCTGGATACTAAAATTTCATGGAACGTCAACCAGAAAACTGAAATGAGCAACCTAAATGTCTGGTACTTTATTAAAAGCTCAGAGCACATTACGTAAGCAAATTCAGTCTCTGTACACAAATTAACAAGTTTGGCTTTGAATATTCTTATGAATTCCTTTACCCCACAAAGGATTAGCCCAGCGTCTGTAGTCTCACAATAGGCAAAAGAACCAATTTTCATGCAGCATGAGTCCAGTAAGTAAAGAGCAAGAGAGGAAATGGAGACCAAAGGCAACTTTTACACCAATTTTATAAACAGCAAATCAAAAAGAGCAAGCACCATGGTTCTGTTGTTCTTTCTTAAGCCAATTTGCTCTACACCAGACACAGATATGTCTGATGGGAGGACTGCAACCAACAGAATTGGATCCCCAGTGATACACAACAGCAGCACTGCTCATGTGGAAATTCAAGCACAAAAACCAGCCAGATATGAGGAAACTTTTCCAAGTGCTGTATATCATGAGAATGGTGATAATTTCCTAAGTGCCAACATGTGCTAAAACTTGCCAAACTGTTTGCTTTGCATGAAATTTAAGTTCAATTTCGTTACAATAATGCCTTTTAAAAGTGAGGGAAAAAAAAAAGAGCATCATTTATTTTTATCCATGACTCAGCTACCTACTAGCAAGTCACCAAGTGACTGCAAACAAGTTTAATTAACAACTCAATGACAGTCACCCAAGTTAAAGAACAGGTGCATCAGCATTTTGGAAAGAAAACACTAAAGTCTCAAGGGAAATATCCTAAAGCTGCTTAAAGGGTTAGAAAAGCCATGCTGCTTATGCAGTCTACTTCCCACTCTGGTGTAGAATGCTCTTGGTTTCCATTTCCACAGAATGTGACAACACAGAGTTTATCAGGATTTGCAGCCTTACTGTACTTTTCTTCCTTGCACCTCTGCAGAATCTCTAAACTCCTCTGGTGGACTGGGTGTTGGAGAAAGCTAAAACTATCCATACTTTTCAAAATTGCACATGGCGCTGTATCATCATGTCCTTAAGGAAGCAAAAGGAAAATAAAAAAATGGAAAAAAGAAAAGACATTATATAAGCCCAAACCAGTAACAGAATCAAGGAAAATGCTGCCAACTAGCTTAAGAGTGTATATTAAAAAGTTTCACATAACAGATTAAATATGAATAATTTTTCCAACTGATTTGAAGAAATTATAATTAATAGGGAAAAATAAAGGTTCTTTTTAAATACTGAAAGTACCTTTTTTAATACAGAAAGTATTGTGAGTTAATACCACACTAAAAAATTTCTAGATTAAATTATTAAGGATATTTCAAAAACAATTTATACAAATTAGATATTTTTAAAAATAGATTTCCTTTTATTGGGTCTGAAATATTAACATATAGTTGGCAACACTGATGGAACCCCAAAGAGAAATATACCCAAATCAATTTGCTAAAAATTTAACCATTCTTTCACAAATCCTGCAATTAGCCACACTTGTAGGAAATTCCAACAAGTGGGTCAATGATGAAAATGTGAAGAAAAGCACCATAGATCAGGAAAACCCAGCAGCACTTTTGTATTTGTAAATTTGAAAATATAACTAGAGAATCTATACATCACCACCACTTCTTAGGAAAGTGAGACAGAAATTAATCCCAAGTGGGGAAACAAAAGAGAGCACATTCAAGTAAAGAACAAAGCCCCACATTAATGCTATTTAAACAGTGAGTCACTCTAGTAATAGGGAGAAGAGGGGCTTTGATACAATAAATACTAGGAATAAATGAATTTGCAACAGAATACAGGGACACTTCTAGATTTAGGAAGTGTTTGATTTAAATAGTTTTACCTGCAAAAAATGAAAGTGCAAATTTAATAACTGGGACAAATTACGCAACACAAACAAGGAACTAAAATGCCATTGGTACACTTCACTGTATACTTAGAAATGAGACATGATGTAATAATCAAGACAGAATTATTTTAAAGGTTAAAGAGGCAAAGTAATTCAAAGAGGTTTAAAGATTATGTTTTAATCTCACTATAATTTCCTAAATAAGATTTTAAAATCCAGGGAAAGGGCTTTGCATTTAGCAAAGGAAAGGGACTCCTAAAATCAATAAATCAGATAATACTATACACAGAAGTAGCAGACATTTCAGAAATAAAATAGATTTGAAATGCTTTTTCATATCTGAGACAAAGTAGCTAAGAAATCACTGTACTATTTATCCAGTATGAGAATCAACAGATGCAAATGTTCAATGTTTCAACAAGAGACACATATTAGCAAGTTTACCATCATTTCATGGTCAAAGATTCTTTAATAAAAATACTCAATTCTTTTTCTGAGGTTTTGGGGTTTGTAGTGGCACCTACACTTACCAGGCTGGTGCTCTAACACTTGGGTCACATCCCAGCTCCCAATTCTCATTATTACTAGGAATCCCCACTTCATGGGCTGCTTGGAGCAGCAATGCTTAGGCATCAGACTAGCATGCACTTGGTTTGAGAGTCAGTTGAAAGAAACCAGATAGTAAGCCTATTCACACTGTATCCATGCTCTTAGAACCTCTGAACCATGAAAACAGGGGTTCACAATCCCAGATCCACAGTATCATTCAGATACAAGGCCGTGTTTCTGACCCGTACGTTTTTGTAATGCTAGGACCTAATGCTAGGACCTAAGCTTCAAGCTTTCCTCCTTCTTCCTTAAGATGGGGTCTTGCTATGTTGCCACACAGGCCTCAAATTCCTGGACTCAGGTGATCCAACTGCCCAGCCTCCTGAGTAACCGGGACTTACAGGCATGTGCCCCTGCGCCTGGATCTTAGGGCCACTTCTCCTCTTTTTAAATTTACTCTTCTTTAGCTATTCCTTAGAGCCATTTTCAAAGTTATATATTACAAACAGTATAATCCCCTGATCTCTTAAGTATCCAGTTTGACAAGTTTAAACAACTATTTACATCCACACAAGCCTGAATCAAGACATAGAACATTTCTATCGCCCTAACAAGCTATTCTATCCCCTTTCACATCAGTACCAGACCATGTCCCCAACCCTACCAAAAGCAGTCACTGTACAGTACTCTGTTTTAAACTAAATGAAACAATATGGCATGCATTCACTCATGTCTGACTTTTTTGCTTAGTATTTTTTATGACCCATCAGCAGTTTGTTCTCTCCTGTTGCTGAGTACTTTACATGGCAGGAATGCATCATTACTGCTTACATATTCTTCCACTGATGGACAACTGGAAGCTATCACGAATAAAGGCACAATAAGCATTCTTTTCTGTGCTTGTATATAACAGCTTCATTGAAATATAACTCATATACTATGCAGTTCACAGATCTAAACTGTACAAATATTAATATTTTCCCAAGCTATAGAACCATCATCAATTTCAAATATTTTGATAATATCAAAAGGATACCTCATACTCTTATTACCCCCTCAATTTCTTAGCTCCACAGTAGGTAAACATAATCTAAATTCTGTCTCTACGGATTTGCCTATTCTGGACAATTCTTACTAACAGAGTCATACAATATATTGCATTTTTGTGCCTGACATCTTTCACACAGCATACTGATACATATTATATACATTATAAGATGTACCAGAACTTTGCTTTTTATGAACAAGTAACATTCCACTGTATGGACATACCACATTTTTTTTATCCACTCATTTGAGTTGATAAGACATTCAGGTTGTTTCCAACTGTTGGCCATTATGAATAATGTGACAAAGAACACTTGTGTATTACACTGTGTTTGGACCTCTGTCTTTGATTTTGGGTGTACGTATTTTGGAGTAGAAATGCTGAGTAAAATACAATTCTATATTCAATTTCTTTTTGGTGTCTATTTATTTTCCTTTTGAGAGATGGTTGATGTAGCACAGGCTGGTCCCTAAGTTATGGTCCTCCTGCTCAATCTCCCAAGTGCTAGGACTACAGACATGTACCACCATGTCTAGCTGACTCCCAATTCCTCTACATTCTCACCAAAATTTGCAATTACTTGTCTTTTCTATTATAGACATTCTAGTAGATGGGAAAGTGGTGTCTCGTTACAGTTCCAGTTCCAGTTCTGTTGGTGGATTTACTGGACTTTGGCATAGTTCCTTCAAGGTATATCTCTGGAGATCTGTTGTCTATCTTTAAGGTAGGTTAGTCAACTTTCTTACAATTGAATAGTACAGTTCTATATGTATTTTACATACTAGTTCTTTTTGTTTATTTGGTTGTCTTGTTTTGTTTTTGGAGACAGGGTCTCACTATAGAGTCCAGGATGGTATTGAACTCAGTATGTAGCCCTTGCTGGCCTCAAACTGTGATCCTCCTGCCTCAGCCTGCCAAATTTATTACAATGCATTGCTAGATATCAGAGACATTAGTTAGCAAATATTTTCTACCATTCTATAAATTTTAACTTGACTTTTTTATACTATCCTTTAAGGGGAAAAAGGCACTTTAATTTCATGAAGCTAATTCATCCACTTTTTCCTTTGGTTGCTTATTCTCCTTTTGCTGCCATATGGGAGAATTTGTGCCTTATTCAAACTGAGAAGTATGAGTCCTTCAACTTTTTGTTCTTACATTGCTGGGTCCCTTTCCATCACTTTTAGGATCAGTTATCAATTTCTGCTTAAAGGAAGTTGAGGTTCTTATAGGGACTGCACTGAATCTATGGATCAACTCAGGGGACACTGCCATCTGAGCTAGATTGCTTTCCAGTGCATGAGCACAGGATACCTTTCCATTTACTCAGGTATTAAGTCTTTCAACAATGTCTTACAGTTTTCAGTGTGCAAGTCTTGCAACTTGTTTTAAGCTTATCCATAAGGACTTTATTCCTGTTGAGCTCTTATAAATTTCATTTTCAGGTTGTTCACGATTACTACATAGAAATACAACTGATTTTTTTTCAGATTGACCTTGTAATCCGATCTCATTTATTAGTTTGAGTAGTTGTGTATGTGTGCGTATTCATTCCTTAAGACAGTCTATACATATTATGACATCTGTGAACAAAACAGTTTCTTCCTTTAAAATATGGATGTCTTTCTTTCTTTGTCATTTTCTTTGCCTAATTGCTCCAGCCAGAGTTTCCAGGACAAAGCAGACATCCTCATGTTGTTCCTGATCCTTCACTATTAACTGTGATGTATGCTCTGGGTTTTTCAGAGATTCTCTTATTAGGATGAGAAAGATTCCTCCTATTCCTGGTTTGTTCAGTGTTCTTTAATCATGAATACATGTTGGCTTTTGTCAAATGCTTTTTTCCTGTGGACATGGGGGTGGTCACGCAGCTTGTCTTTTATTCTACTAACATGATTCATTCCACTGATTAATTTTTGTAAGTTGAACCAACTTTTCATTCCTGAGCAAATCCCACTACATCATGGTATATAGTGGCATTGGATTCAGTTTGCTAAATTTTGTTAAGTATTTTTCTATCTGTATTCATAAAGGACATTTGTTTGTGGTATTCTTTTATTCTTTTTTGTGATGTCTTATCTGGTATCCAGGAAATACTGACCTCAGATAATGAAATGGAAAGTATCCCCTTATCTTCTATTTTGTGGAACAATTTATGAAGAAATGGCTTTAATTCTTCAAGTATTTCTCAGAATTCACTAGCCTTTGGTTTTTTGTATAGAAAATTTTTTAAATTACTAACTGAATTTGTTACCTCATATTCAAATTTTTCTATTTTCTTCTGGAGTCAGCATTGGGTGATTGTGCCCTCCTAAGAATTTTTCCATTTCAATGAGTTTCAAGTTTGTTACAATTAACAATTCATATAACCACTCTCTCTTTTTTTTTTAATTACTGTAAATTCAGTGGAAATGTCCCCTTCCTTCCACTACTAAAATTAGTAATTTGATTCTTCTATTTTGTGGTCAGTCTAACTCAAGATTTTTCAACTTTGCTCATCTTTTCAGAGTCAACTTTTGATTTGTTTTCACTATTTTCTAGCATCTACCTCATTCACTTCTAATCTAATTTATTATGTTC